CTGGTGACTTGTAGGACAAAGCACTCGAAGTAGAACTATCTTCATTTTGTAGATGAGGAAACTGAGGCTCAGAAAAGGAAAGTAACTTGTTCAAAGTTATAAATCATGCCCCGGCTGGATTGTGCGATCAGAGCTTACTGCAGCCTCAGCCTCCCAGGCTCAGGCGATCCTCCTGCCTCAGCCTCCTGAGTAGCTGGGACCACAGGTGCACACCACCACTCCTGGCTAATTTTTAAAAAATTATTTGTAGAGAGAGGGTCTCCCTATGTTGCCCAGGCTGGTCTTGAACTCTTGGGCTCAAGTGATCCTCCTGCCTCGGCCTCCCTGTGTTGGGATTTCAGGTGTGAGTCACTTCGCACAGCCAATTTTTTAAAAAGACAAGCCATAAATTTAGGGGTTTTTCCTGTGAAAATTTTCCTACTTTTAAAAACTTGACAACTTGGGCCAGGTATGGTGGCTCATGCCTGTAACCCCAACACTTTGGGAGGCCAAGGCAGGCAGATCATGAGGTCAACAGATCGAGACCATTCTGGCTAACATGGTGAAACACCGTCTCTACTAAAAATGCAAAAAAGTTAGCCGGTCATGGTGGCGGGCACCTATAGTCCCAGCTACTTAGGAGGCTGAGGCAAGAGAATGGCGTGAACCTGGGAGGCAGAGGTTGCAGTGAGCCGAGATGGTGCCACTGCACTCCAGCCTGGGCAACAGAGCATGACTCCGTCTCAAAAACAAAAAACTTGAAAAATTGTTGATTTCTTTGTGACTGTGGCAAACATATCTGTAGTAGAAGTCATGGTGGGTAGTTAGTTCAGTGGAGCTCTTATGGGCCAGTGGCAAATGATGGCAGGGGTGGCTTCCTGAGTGCAACTTGTACAGTGGTCCCACAGGGCCCTGCACTTGGTGGAGGACTGCACCTCACGCATGGTTCATGCTCTGCTCTGCTGTTGCCATTTTGAAATTTTTAATTATTATTATTTATTTATTTATTTTTTGAGATGGAGTTTCGCTCTTGTTGCCCAGGCTAGAGTACAGTGGCTTGATCTCGGCTCACTGCAACCTCCGCCTCCCAGGTTCAAGTGATTCTTCTGCCTCAACCTCCAGCGTGGCTAGGATTACAGGTGCATGCCACCACACCCAGCTAATTTTGTTATTTTTAGTAGAGATGGGGTTTTGCCATGTTGATCAGGCTGGTCTCAAACTCCTGACCTCAGGTGATCCACTGGCCTCCCAAAGTGCTGGGATTACTGGTGTGAGCCACCACACCCGGCCTAATAATTCTTTAACAAGGGCCCAGGCTTTCACTTTGCACTGGGCTCTGCAAATTACCAAGCCTGTCCTGACTGGAGGCAAGGGCTGAACCCATCTGGTGGTGGAAAAGGGCCAAAGAGGAGGTCAGGAAATGCTTCATAGAAGGACCCTGAGGGAGGAGGTGAGTCCTGCAAGTAGGCCTGGGTGTGGCTATGTGACACTATGAGGTGGGAGTGTGTTGTGTGCACCGGTGTGTGCAAGTGTGAGGCTGTGCATATGGTCCACGCAAGTGTGTGAGAGCAGGCAGTGTCTGCAGGGGCATGTGAGTGAGGGCTTGTGGATATTTATCTTTGTGAGTGTGAGTGTGTGTGTGACTTTGGTTCCCATGAGTGTATATGAGTGTGTGTGGTTTGTGGGGGAGGTGGTGGCCAGGGCAGGGAGAGTCACGGGGCTATTTAACAAATATTTATTGAGCACCTCCTCTGTGCCAGGCGCTGTGCAAGGTGCTGAGGTGAGTAAGCCCCAGCACTTGCCCAGAGGTGCTCACAGCCAGGCGAGGGAGAGAGATGTGTAAACAGACAACTGCAGTGAGAGAGCAGATTGAAACCAGACTCCTCAGAAACGCAACCCCTTCACCCACTTCCCCCAGGAGAAGCCAGATTTCCCCAGAATTGGTGGGACAGGTGGGGCTGTGGGAGAAGCCGGGAACTGTCCCAGGAGGCCGACCCCAGCCCCTCCTCAGGCACACCCAACACCACGGGAGGGGTGACTTCCCTCTGACCTGCACAGCGACACACCCAATCCCACAGAAGCAGATAAGAGGTGACCAGCAGCTCCGGCAGGGCAGGATATAAACAGCCTGGCCCTGTGGCTTCCTCCCCACCCCCACTCCCCAGCCCAGGACACACCTGAGGGGATGCAGACTGGGGTGGGCGAGAGACAGGGCTGTCTCCTGCTAGGAGGGGTCCATTCGGAGGTCCCCGGGCTGGTGAGAGTTGGGGTAAGGGTGTCCGGCGACCGACAGAGAGGGCAGCACAGAGGCCAGCCCAGGGGTCTGTGCCAGGACTGTGCAGCGTCCTGAGGGGTGAGAGGGGAGAGAACTGTTGGGGAGAAAGACGTCCCTCCCAGAGCTGCCGTCTTCCCGGCTGTCCCAGGCGCTGCCCAGGTGGCCTCACTGAGCTGCAACGTGGGGGCAGGCATGCTGTCAGTTGGTCCCCACTCTCACCCAGCCAGTGACTTCGGCCCACCTTGTCAGTAAAATGGGGACGCCCGGTCTCCTCAGAGAGCTGTGGGGTGGATCAAATGAGATAATGGGATGAGGAAAGCACCTCATAAACTGCAAATGGCAGGACAAAGGTCAGTGTGCAGCGGGCAGCACCTGCCCCCAGCCCTCCAGAAGAGGGTGAAGGGGCTGAGCACCATATTCCCAGCCCTCCTCCCTGCTACGATTTCCTTTAGGAGTTGAAGACGCTGGGAGTCAAGGGAGGCCAAACAAGCATGTCCCAGGCTTCAGAGGCCCCTCCCCCACTTCTTGGCTAGGTGACTTCAGGCCACACTGGGTCACCTCTCTTCTTTTTTTCTGAGACGGGGTCTCACTCTGTCGCCAGGCTGGAGTGCAGTGGCGCTATCTCGGCTCACTGCAACCTCCACCTCCTGGGTTCAAGTGATTCTCCTGCCTCAGCCTCCTGAGTTGCTAGGACTACAGGCGCGTGCCAGCACGCCCAGCTCATTTTTGTATTTTTAGTAGAGACAGGGTTTCACCATGTTGGCCATGATGGCCTCGATCTTCTGACCTCGTGATCCTCCTGCCTCGGCCTCCCAAAGTACTAGGATTACAGGCATAAATCATCGTGCCCAGCTGGGCCACATCTCTTAAGGGTGCAAGGACCCCGAGATACTGTGGCTAGGGAAACTACACCAGAGTCTAATGCATAATTTTCAAGAAATGGGGTCATTTTTAGACTGAGTAGCTGTGAAAGCTTCCCCAGCTTCTGAGGTTACACCTACGCCCTGGCCCACATCCCCTTTGTCTAACTGGCTCACACTTCAGAAGGGAAATGTAAATAAAAGTCTTTTTCCAAATGGCTCCAGGATTCTGGGTTCTCTTGTGATCTCACTTTTCTCTCCAATCAACTTCCCCACTCTCTTTTCTACCATTTCTTGCTTCTCCAGAGCAAGCTGCATTTCCAGAAATCCACACACAAGCTTTAGTTTTTCTAAGATCCCTTCTTTACCCACATCACTTCAGCCAATAATCTGGTTGGCATTTCCAAGACAACAGAGCAGTATTTGAAACTCATGAATGGGATTTTATTTTTTTTTTAATTTTATTTATTTATTTATTTATTTTTATTTTTTATTTATTTATTTATTTTTTTGAGACGGAGTCTCGCTCTGTCGCCCAGGCTGGAGTGCAGTGGCCGGATCTCAGCTCACTGCAAGCTCCGCCTCCCGGGTTCACGCCATTCTCCTGCCTCAGCCTCCCGAGTAGCTGGGACTATAGGCGCCCGCCACCTCGCCTGGCTAGTTTTTTGTATTTTTTAGTAGAGACGGGGTTTCACCGTGTTAGCCAGGATGGTCTCGATCTCCTGACCTCGTGATCCGCCTGTCTCGGCCTCCCAAAGTGCTGGGATTACAGGCGTGAGCCACCGCGCCCGGCCATGAATGGGATTTTAATGTGCTCTATGGAATGTGAAGCCTCAAACTTAAGGAACTTTTCACCTGGAAAGCATTCTTCATAAGTAACATCAATGAACTGTCCTCCCTAAAACCTAGATACATTATCGCTGTGGAAACAGAATAATAGTTCTGGAGTCGATTGAGGATTAGGTTAAGAGAGCCTACACCAGGAAAAGCTCCCAGGAAACGGTTTGAGGACAGAATCAAGGCACACCTGTGGAACCTCTTTCCGCATCTGTCAAATGGGGATACTGCATCTCCTCTCTTCTTGGGAGAGGATTAAATGAGTCAGAGTGGGCTAGCGCAGTGTCTGGCATAAGACTAGGCTTTCAATGGGTGCTATACTCGCTACCTGGGTGACAGGATCATTCGCATCCCAAGCTCAGCATCACACAATATACCCATGTAACAAACCTGCACACGTACCTCCTAAATCTAGAGTAATAGTTGCAATTATTAAATAAAGAGAAACAGACTATACTTTCAACAAATGCCAACTCCTTCCCTCATTCTTTCTCAGCAAGTACTCATCTCCATTTTGTTTGTGTTTTTTTTTTCCTTTACAAGATCCTAACTCTGATTTTGTCAGACTCAAAAGCTGGGATTTATATTACAGATAAACAGCTTACAGCCCACTTGGCTGGAATGCAAAACCATCTATTCCACAAGGCCGGCCATGCAATTCTAGACATCTTGAGAACATCAGGTCCAAACCCTAGCCTTATAGGAAGAATCAGTCCCAAACAGGGCAGACTTGGTCAAGGTCAAGGTCACCCAAGCGGTGTCGCGACAGCAGGATGTTTCTGACCTCAGCTTTCTGAGTTCATGTCCTTGCTTGCATGAAGTCTTGTAAGCATTCTCTGACAGTCTCACCTGCTTCCTTTGTTCGCCTCCCAGCCCAGTCCACGTGTCTGTAAGCCCAAACCTGCTACAGGAAATCTGTAACTCCCTCCCCTCTTCGTCAGCCTTTGCCCTCACCCCTCAGCCTGGTAGACCTGCATTCTCCTCCCCTCCAACCTCTTGACCATATTCGATCCAAAGGCCCAAATTTCAGTACACAGGTAGCTAAGACAAAGGTTAGAAAAAGCCCAGAAGGCACTTTATTGGAGGTCTCTGCCTCCATTCACAGGAGAAAGGAGCCGGGAGTCCCATCCTGAGGGTCCCAGCATCAGCCCACTGGAGAGCCTGGAACAGTCCAGCACTCTGTGGGAGAGGGGAATGTTTTAGAAAAAATAGATCTCTATGTACATCTGACATATTTATAGCACATAAATTAGGGAGTGCTCTGACCCCTGCCCGTGGAGCCCAAGCACTGAGCAGGGAGATGAACGCCAGTCCAGAAAGAAGGTGCTGGAGCCCCTGCTCTGTCCTCTCCATTACGGTGCTCCCCTAGGGCCTCCCCAGGCCTCCTTGGCTCAGTCCAGGTGTCTGCAGGAGGAAGGTGTTGTCTGTATTTAGTGTCTGAGACTGGGTTTGAGGAGGCACCAGATTAAAGGAGACACATTTGCAGCTATACAGTCAGCTTCAAACCCCAGGGCTTGTAATTCCAAGAGAAGGGTGGGGAGGCGAGGCCATAGTCTCCAAGTCCCAGGATGATGGCTGACAATACACCAAAACTTCAGCTTCTCTCCACAGCACAGCTGGGAGCATTCCCCAGTGGAGGGGCCATCCGGCCTGCCTGTCCTCCCAGGAAGGTTTGCAGGCCTCAAGTGGTTGTGAGTTTGGTCCCGGGTATAGTTCCAACCCTCAGTTCCGACTCTGGAGAACCTCTTCCTCCTTCCAGCCACTTGAGTTTTTGCCAAACTTGTAGACGAGTCGCCGGCCATCCACCCGTTCCAGGATCTCCCGTTTGTAGTAGTACCTGGGTGGGGAGAAGGATGGTCAGAGGTGCTTAGGCAGGAAACGGGCCCCGAGTCGCCAGCCCTCCCACCTAGCCCGCGTTACCCCCAGGTGACCCATGCCCACTGGTATCTGCCTAAGCCAAGCCTGACTCACACTTCCTGAACTCCTCTGTTCTTCCCACCCGTAAGCAGAAGCTCTGTCCCTATACTGGCCAGTAACTGTGCCCAGGACACATGGCTCTCTGCCCTTGCTTCTTTGTATCCTATGGCTATGACTGGGGTCTGATCATTAAAGTACATGATTTTTAAGGCCAGGCAGCTGGGCACGGTGGCTCATGCCTGTAATTCCAGCATTTTGGGAGGCCGAGACGGGCGGATCACTTGAGGTCAGGAATTCAAGACCAGCCTGGCCAACAGGGTGAAACCCCCGTCTCTACTTAAAATACAAAAATTAGCCGGGCATGGTGGCAGGTGCCTGTAATCCCAGCTACTTGGGAGGCTGAGGCATAAGAATCACTTGAACTTGGGAGGCAGAGGTTGTAGCGAGCCAAGATTGTACCACTGCACTCCAGCCTGGTCAACACAGCGAGACCCTGTCTCAAAAAAAAAAAAAAAAAAAAAAAAAGAAGAAGAAGAAAGAAAAGGCCAGGCACAGTGGTTCACACCTGTAATCCCAGCACTTTGGGAGGCCAAGGCAGGGCAGTCATTTGAGACCAGGGGTTTGAGACTGGCCTGGCCAACACAGAGACCCTTGTCTCTATTTAAAAAAGAAAAAAAGGCCGGGCACGGTGGCTCAAGCCTGTAATCCCGGCACTTTGGGAGGCCGAGGCGGGCGGATCACAAGGTCAGGAGATCGAGACCATCCTGGCTAACACCGTGAAACCCCGTCTCTACTAAAAAAATACAAAAAACTAGCCGGGCGTGGTGGCAGGCGCCTGTAGTCCCAGCTACTCGGGAGGCTGAGGCAGGAGAATGGCGTGAACCCAGGGGGCGGAGCTTGCAGTGAGCCGAAATCGAGCCACTGCACTCCAGCCTGGGCCACAGAGCAAGACTCTGTCTCAAAAAAAAAAAAAAAAAAAAGAAAGTAAGTATATGATTTTAGGGCTGGATGGGACCTTAAGATGACCTAGTCTACCCCTGGACATAGGAGGAAACTGAGGCCCGGAGAAAAGCAAGCTAAGTGCTTCAATGAGGAGAAAGCCAGGCCCTGGGTGGGCACAGCTCCCGCCCACTTCCCGACTCTCCAGGTGCCTTCCTGAGGACGAGCCTCACAGGTGATACAAGAAATGTTGCTGTTAGCTCAAGCACACTGTGTCTGCCATCCGCCAGGCTAATACTTCCTCCCTGTTGTCGTTTAATCCACCAAGTAGGCCAACCCAGATGTTGTCCTCACTCTACAGGACTCAGCCTTGTTGCATGCAGCCAAGTGGCATCCAGGAGGAGGGCAGTGGGAGTGTGAGCACTGTCCCCGTGTCTGGCTGCATGGTGAGGGTCCTGGCCGCCAGCTCACCTCATGGCCCGGCTCAGCTTCTCATAGGTCATGTTGCTGTTCTTTTTCTTTTGGCCCCACAGTTGGGCCACAGCCTCGGAGCGCAGGAACTTGAAGACGCCTTCATGCCGATTCTCCCACTTCATGAGGCCCTCATTGAGCTCTGGGTGGATGAGGATGTCCCGGATGAACTCCCACAGGTGGGTACCTCTGGGTGCTACAAGGCCAGCCTCCGTCAGTTTGCCATCCAGGTGTCCCCTCTCACTCAAGGCCAGCTGGCCCTGCCCGCCCCGGCGCACTGCTGACTCGGCCACAGCATGGAGCAAGCCCCTCCAGAGTGCCTCTGTGTGGGTACTGCAGTGACTGCTTTTCTCCTCAGCCCACGTAAGCACCCACCAGCTGCCTCCTTACACCAAGGGTGTCCCAGAAGGCAGGACAGTGGCCAAGTGCAGAGAGGGCTGGAGTCAGTGGACAGGACTCTAGTGCCATGAGCCTCCCACTGGGAGCCTTATTTCCTCCTCCTCTCCAGGACCACCAAGCAAGGCTCTGTAATTAGGTGGTGACCAATACCATAGAGCCCCCAGCTTGTGCACAGCCTTAACAAAGGCCGTGTGGAGGCCAGAAAGAACGGCAGGAGGGATACCCACAATGACCCGCAGTGCCCGGGGAAGCAGCTCAGCCTCGGTGCAGGGAGGACCCAGGGGCCCCTGAAGCTCACCGTGCTTGCTCTTCTTGCCCTCGAGACAGTCCCAGTACTCTTTGCTCAGCTTTCGGGGCCGACCTCGTTTCCGCTTCCCGTGCTTGGGATCCCCCTTCTTGCAGTCAGGAAAGCCATCTGTGGGGGCGGTGGTGGAAGATCAAGGAGGGCAAGGGGGGAGTTAGGGAGAGCAGCCCCTCTATAGGAAAAGGCTGCAGAAAGAGCCGGGCCCTCTGTACACTGCTAAATGGGACACCCTCTTGGGGACCTCCCTCGACTCACCTCTGGGGAAGAGCTTGCTGTCAGTGGGATCCAGGTCCACGTCACTTCCACCGGAGTCTGAGGAGTGGGAGCTCCGAGAAGCACCAGTCCCTGGGGGGTGGGGTCAGAGTAAGTCCCCTGCCGGCCCACCCTCTGCTGAACCATGCTGCTGGCTCTCAGGACACACTTCCCAGCCTGTTCCTATTCCTGCCAGAAGGCCTGAGTTCTGGTGCTGGGAGCCGGAGGGAACCAGGGACACTTTGGGGAAGGGAGGTTGTGGCCCAGAGAAGACTCTCACCTGCGGTGGAGACGTCAGAGCTGCCGGGGGAGGGGGCTCCTGCGCCACAGCTGCCGGGGTGGTAGGGGCTGGCTTGCTGACTGTCGTCCAGCAGCTCCTGGGCAAAGGGGCTGCCCTGGTCTGGGAAGAGGAGGTGAGAACTCAGAGAGGGCTCAGGGGACCAGACCAGGACAGGTGAGGCTGCCCATGGGTCTGATGACCTGCTGCAATTTTTCTAATTGAGGGAGGAAGAAGTCTGGGGAGGGGGTCATCTCTAGCACTCTGTGGAGGGGCAGGGATGGGACAAGACACGCTGGGGAAGGAAGGAGAAAACGGGTTCTCACCGAAGGGCCCTGGGTCTAGGGCCTCCTGGAAGGCCATGCCATCCTTCTCCAGCAGCTCAATGATCCAACTGAGCTCATCAGAAGAGCTAGAAGCTGACAAGGAAGGAAGGAAGGGTCACACTCCCTTCATCCCTCCCTGAAGAGTTCTCTCTGGCTGTGCCGCTGGCCCAGAGCTCCAGGGCCTGCCCACTGTCACACTGAACTCAACTCAGCTCAACATATGGAGCTGCTCCCCCGCTTCCAGGGGCCTGGACTCACTGAGGTCTCGCAGCTGGGCATGGAGTTGGTCCCCCAGAGGCCCAAAGACCAGACGCAGCTCCTCAAGGGCACAATTGCAGAGGGTGGCCCCGTCCATGTCACACCGTGAGAAGTCAATGGCGCTTGCGTCGTACTTGTTCTTCTCCACTTGGTAGCTGATCCAGTCCAGAACCTGTGTCTTCGACCAGAACTGGGGCTGTTCTCCCGACCAGCTGGTCTTCTCTGCAAGGGCCAGGCATGGCAACAGGCTCAGTCCAGACCACCCAGCAGACCTTACAGCGCTGTTTTGTTTCTTTGTTTGTTTGTTTGTTTGTTTTTTGAGACGGAGTTTCGCTCCTGTCGCCCAGGCTGGGGTGCAATGGCGCCATCTCGCCTCACTGCAACCTCCACCTCCTGGGTTCAAGCAATTCTCCTGCGTCAGCCTCCCAAGTAGCTGGGCTTACAGGTGCCCACCACCAAGATGGGCTAAAATATTTTTGTATTTTTAGTAGAGACGGGGTTTCACCATGTTGGCCAGGCTGGTCTCCAACTCTTGACCTCAGGTGATCCACCCAGCTCAGCCTCCCAAAGTGCTGGGAATACAGGTGTGAGCCACCATTCCCAGCCCACACAGCCCCATTCCTAGAGCACACTGGGGATTCACACCTCAGCCCTTGGAGCCATCCCAAGAGTAGGGGCAGGAGGTAGCATTCACAACACCCTTGTCCTGGTATCTGACACCTCCCTCTGACTGTCACAGCCCCACAACCCCCAGCACCTCAGTCACTACGTCTCAGCCTCTAGCCCTGGAATTCGTCCAGAGACCCTCCTCCCTGCCCATTCTCCCATTTGTCTAACAGGCCCTTAGATGGATCTGTCTCCCACTCCGTGCCCCATCCCACCCCGCTGAGACCCACCTGTACCCTCCAATGACATCTGGGGGTTGCTCAGGGTCAGCACCAAGTCATCGGCCCCAAAGGCGGCAGCAGGGGGAACAGGGGCCAGGGCGGAGTCCTCTGAGCTGTACATCGCACTGACGTAGTTGCTAAAAATGTTGCTAATCTCACAGGTTGCAGCCATGAGGCTACCTGTGGGTAGGGGGAGAGGGGATGAGGTTGGTGAGGGGACAAGGGTCCTCTCCTTACACTCCCAGCTACTCTGCTTTGCCCAATGATGGGCAAGAGTAGCCCCCAGGGGCAGGAAGATCATCAACTCTGCAGACACCCTCTCTTCAAGAAGGGCTCCAAGATCTCAGACCAGGGCAGGACCACAGAAGCCTCCAGCTGGACTTCCCTCCTCAGATCTCTGGGGCCCTGGAGTCAGACTGGCAGCGTCATGGCCATTCTGCCCTCCCAGAGACGATCTCTGTCTGTTCTTCGACACTTAGAACACCTACGCTCTTGCTCGGAGATCCTAGACTGGAGTGCGCAGATTCAGAACCGCAAATCCTCTGGACCCCTCTGCAGTTTCCCAAGAGCTGTTCTAGGGAATGACAGGCAGGGAATCCTACCGGAGTGGTGGAGTCCGGCTGTGGCAGGCAGGCTGGCAGTCAGGCTTAAGCCGCAGGTGGGAGAGAAATCCAGTTCTGCCAGGTAGCGCTGAGGTGTCTGGCCGCTGCGTTCCCCTACCTGGCTCTAAATAGAGCCTGGAGGGAGCTCCTCCCTGAGCTCAGGCCTTTATAGTACATCCCCTGCAGTAACCTGAGCTGGTGGCTCATTGGACGGAGGGGATTTCCTGGCCTTTAGACTGGGCTCCTGGCCCCAGGTGATTTGCATATTCAGTGCCACTTGGCCCGGATCTTAGCAGGCGGTGCTGGGAAATCAGGCCCGGCTGGTTTAATGATTGTCAGAGTCTGTCATCCCGCACCCTCTGGGGTTGGGCACAGGGCACTAGCCTGGGCAGGTGGCGGGAACATTGCTGGGGTGGGCATCTGTGCTTTCTGCTGCCCTCTGGCCCAGGAAAATCCTCCCAGGGGCCAGGCCAGAGATGGGCCAGGCAGGGGGAGGGAAAGTGAGGGACTGTGAACCTCTGGCTGACCTGGATCAGAAAGCTGCTGGCCCCTAAATTCCAGCGATTCAGCGACAAAGAGGCCTAGTAGGGAGAGGAGTTACTAGGTTTAGGGGTTTTTCCCAGAACACCCAGGACTCTGGCCAGGGGCTGGCAGGTGCTCCAGGCTCAACGCTGGGCAATACTCATGGATTAATTGGTGGTGGCTGGGCCTGCCAGCCTAGCCTTGGCTCCAGGGTCCCCACTAAAGGGGTCCTTCTCCAGCACTCAATCTGTTGGCAAGGTCTTCACTACCATCACCTGCCTGAACTCCATCCAAGCATCAGGGTTGCTGCAGTCACTCCTGAAGAGACCCGGCTCTGCTTGAAAGTTCTTCCCTCAGCGTCTGCTGAAGCCCTCCCTGCCGGAGTTGCCAGAATCCACACGGATAAGTTCATCCCTGCTCTCTGGACTCCATCCAATCTCTGGTTCACTGGACCCAGTTTTCCGGTGCCTTCTGCTGCCCTCTAGTGGTCAGAAGCCTGACTATCTGGGTCACGTCATTCAACGAAGAGGGAACGCATAGTATTAATATATTTACCAAGCACTTTTCAACATATTCTCTCATTTAATCCTCACACCAAAAAAGTCCTGTAAGGAATGCATGGTTATTCCCATTTTATAGACAAGAAAGTTGCAGCGTGGAGGGTTCCCTTAGAATGGCTTGCCCAGGCCACACAGAGTTGGTGAAGGGGTGGGGCTGAGATTCACACCCAGGTATGCAGGTGTGTTGTACATGAAACCCTTGCTCTTTCCCTGCACAGGACTCAGAGTCTTCCCTCCCAGCTCCATGGTCAGAGCCCTTGCCTTCCCTGTGGGTAGAGTCCCCCATGTCTGTGGTTGTCTCTATGGACTCAGCCTGAAACACAATGGACAGGGTCTTATAGACCCTCCTTGAGATCCTGAATGGGGTAATACAGGTGGCTGAGGCAGGAGACTTGTAGCCAACATCTGCAACTGTGTCATCTTGGGTGAGACCCTTGGAGTCTGCGCTTGTTTCCTCATCTATAAAAAATGAGGTTGTCTGAATTCAATAATCCCTAAGATCGCTTCCAGATCTAGCATTTTGTTTATTTTGTTTTGAGGTGGAATCTCGTTCTGTCACCCAGGTTGGAGTGCAGTGGCGCGATCTCTGCTCACTGCAACCTCTGCCTCCTGGGTTCAAGCAATTCTCCTGCCTCAGCTTCCCGAGTAGCCAGGATTACAGACCACCGCCACACCCGGCTTTTTGTATTTTTAGTAGAGATGGGATTTCACCGTGTTAGTCAGGATGGACTCGATCTCCTGACCTTGTGATCTGCCTGCCTCGGCCTCCCAAAGTACTGGGATTACAAGCATGAGCCACCGTGCCTAGCCCAGATCTAGATTTTTATGCATCTAAAAATGTAGGATCCGGTGGCTCACACCTGTAATCACTCCATCTCAAAAAAAAAAAAAATGTAGGATCTGTGTGACCCACCTCCATTAATGCATAACTTGCGGAGTTCCTGGCCACCCTCAGCCAGGGTGGGTGAAATGGTTACTCAAACAAAAGGTGACTCCACCTTCCACAGATACTCCTTTCTTTAACTCTATAGCCTGAGGACAAAGAAAGTCCTGCCCAGAGAATCTGCTTCTTACCTTCCTCCTCTCTGAAGCGCCTGGGTGCCTAGGAGAGAGTTAATGTCCAGGATTCCCCCCCCAACCCCACCCTCACCCCCACCCCCCACCCCCGCACTGGGACAGTGCAGGCAGGAGAGCCTGGGGCTCAGTAGGATTTTCCCCAGCCCTTCAGGGGGCCTCCCCCAAGGAGCCTGAGGCAGGCACACCCTCCACCCAGTCCCTCACCCAGGAATGTGGGAGAACCGGCTTCTAGCCCCAGGGCTGCTCACGTGCTCCCTGCCCTGAAGAGTATCTGGCTGGGGCTCCCAGGATGGCGGGGTGAAGAGGAGGATGTATGAGAAAAATGAGAAGGCTCTCAGCTCCCTTGCCTTCTTGGAGCTTCCTCACCGGTGACATGGAGCTGAGATAAGGAATCCCTACAGACTAGCAGCTTGAGATAAGTGGGAAAGACTGGATTGAGGTCAGTGCCTTGGAAGCATGGGGATGGGGGTGGGGAGAAGATTCCAGGATAGTGGTCAAGAGAGCTACGGAGCAGGATGCCAGGGGCTTCCCAGTACTCTGTGATGGCAAAAACAGCCCACTGGCCTCCCCTCTCCCCACAGAGCTTGCCCACACGGCAGCACAGCCTCATCTGTGGGATGGGAGGATGCCCTACAAAAGGACAGCCACATCCAGTAGGCCTGTCGGGTACAAAGGTGGCGAGTGAGGCAGGCTACACAGCTCAGGATACCCGTGCTATGAAATGGGAACCCACAAAGTTAGTGGAGTCACAGAACGGCTGTTAGAAGAAGGACTTCCAGCCTTTCCTTCCAGTGACCTTTCATGATTACTGGGCCTGTGGGTGCTATAGATTTTTGTAAAGAGCAAGGAAAGATAGCTACTGATAAGCTAGACACCAGGTTGGGGAGAGGGGGAGGCAACTGGATAGCCCTAAAATAGTCCTTGTCAATAACATATTGCCAGGAACAGTCCTGAAAGAGCCACAGGAGTTTGCTGTCAAAATGCCAGTGCCTAGAGTGTCTCTTCCGATCCTGGGCCTCCAGATCCCTCTCCTGTGACCCACATCGCCCTCTCTGATGGTGAAGTTGAGTGTGCCATGCATGGGGCAGAGGCCTCTCCAGTCTACCACTTGGTCACTAGTCCCTTGCTCTTGCTGAGTGAAAGCAAATGGACTCATTCCCGACCCTTGTGCAGGGGAGGGAGAAAGCCTGTTTGATAACCTAAAGCCAAGGACAGAGCAGAGCTGCGAACAGAGGCTGGTTCAGGGGTGCCCTGTATTTAAAGAAAGGCAACTGAAACACACTAAATATTTCTTCCAACCCTCCCCTCATCCCACTCCCAAACCCAGATTGCTAACTGTTTAGGTCCCCATGTTGAGGCCAGGAAATCAGAATTTAATGCTAAGTTCTAAAAGACTACTGATTACCACACCATTCAAATAGTCATCCAGGAGCAAAGACAGGTGAGGCCCAGTGAAGCCTTGGGGAGAAGGGTAGAGAAAAAGTCGTAAGACAGTTTTTTATTTTTATTTTTGAGACAGGGTCTCACTCTGTCACTCAGGCTGGAGTTCAGTGGCACAGTCAAGACTCACTGTGGCCTTGACCTCTTGGGCTTAAGTGATCCTCCTGCCTCAGCCTCCTGAGTAGCTGAAACCACAGGCATGCACCACCACGCCCAGCTATCTTTGTGTTTTGTTTTTTTTTTATAGAAGTCTTGCTGTCACCCAGGCTGGAGTGCAGCGGCATGATCTCAGCTCACTGCAACCTCCACCTCCCAGGTTCAAGTGATTCTCCTGCCTCAACCTCCCAAGTAACTGGAACTACAGGTGTGCGCCACCATGCATGGCTAATTTTTGTACATATATAATTTTTGCAGTAGAGATGGGGCTTCACCATGTTGGCCACGCTGGTCTTGAACTTCTGACCTCAAGTGATCTGCCTGCCTTGGCCTCCCAAAGTGTTGAGATTACAGGCGTGAACCATCACGCCCGACCTTTTTTTTTTTTTTTTTGGTAGAGATGAGATCCCACTATGTTGGGCAGGCTGGTCTCAAACTCCTGGGCTCAAGTGATCCTCTCACCTCAGCCTCCCAAAGTGCTGGGATTACAGGCATGAGCCACTGTGCCCAGCCCACTTTTGTTTTTTTCTTAGTGATGGAAATGATAATAGGAATGCTGCTGCAGGGAGAGAATTCAGCTGCTTCACGGAGAACTGGAATGCTATTCCTTTTTCATTTTCCTGTACCAGCTGTGCCATTTTGCCATATATTTTTTCATATGCATGGGTGGGACACCCACCTCCTTCACCCTGGCTGTTTGCTGAGGACAGGGAAACACTGTCATTCTCTGGGCTTCCCCCAGTGACCTTTCCTGAACAAACACAGTGGGGACCCCTGGTGGAAGAAATGTAATAGTCACTCAATCCATAACAATTTTTGCTTGAAAACTTTATTAAAATAAGGATTAAACCTGAAAAAAGAACAATCAGAATGCCAGCCCTTTGCATAAAATCAGCGAGAAAAAAGAAAAGAAAAAAAAAAGAAAAGAAGAGAATCAGTCCTCTCCACTTCTTCCCAGAGACTTAGGCGGAGAGGCGGAGAGGCGGAGAGGCGGAGAGGCGGAGAAGGCCCGCTGCCCTGCAGTGCCCGCAGCCTGTAGCGGGGAGAGCTGTGGGCAGGTTCTCTGTCTCAGGGCTCAGTGGACTAGAGAAGTTCCCACCAGAGCACAGGCCCAAGAGTCACAGATACCTAAGCCTAGAGAACAGATTATCCTGAGGGAATATAAATTCCAGGAAGTTGATCAGAGAACAGGAATTTGGGAACAAACAATTATTCTGAAAGCCTGCAGAGCCTGAAGAGGCAGGGGCCATGCACACGAGCCTCTAACTGCCCTTGGGTGCCACGATCTGCTGGACATAGTTGACAACATTGCTGTGAAGCTGGGAGGCGGTGGACGCAAAGGTCTCCTTGGCGAGGGTCTGGGCCACCTCACTGCCACCCATCATTGCGTGGTACAGCGGAAGTGTATACTTCTGCTTCCCCTGCAAGAAACACACATACACATGCCTAAGAAGCTTGCCCGGTGGGTCTGTCCAGCCCTCCTGCCCCCAGTACCAGCCTAATAGCAGCCATGGCTAGGTGCTAAAAGGAATGTGGGTACCACAGTGGAATGAGGAGTTTCTTATCAGAAGTGCTCTAATTCTGGCATCTTCTTGGGGGCCAAAGATCCATGGAGATGGATCTCAATATGCATCCCAATCCATGCTAACTTGGGGATGTCTACACTCAACAAAACAAATGAGTTGGGTTGACACAGTGGGACTCCAGACTTTTGGAAAGGGGTAGGTGGTGAGCCATCAAGTGAATAGCAGATATCAACGGCTGCAGCACATAAAGCTCACAGCCGCATACGGTCCAACTGCAGTCAAACAAAGGAAAACCCACAGGTCAAATTCACACAAATAAAAGCCAGCGACATCACAAGTTCCTAAAATCCAGAGCCTTGAGGAAGCCGTCAGAGGGCTCAGAACATCCCCAAACAGGCACGCAGCCCTGACTTTCTGCAGAGCACTGCTTCGTCTCCAGTCCAGCCCCTCCCTGCTCCGGAATCTGATGACATTCAGTTCATCCTGAGAGCCTGGGGCCCTTCCCCAACAGGGCAACTTCCACATGGTGACAGAGGGTCTGGCTGCTGTCCCAACCATGCCCAAGTCACAGGGCAGCAGGGACCTATCCTCCAAGCTTTTGCTCTTCTCGCTCGACCTCTGGCCCCTTTCCCTCTTGGCGTTTCCCGCATGATGCGATCACCCTCTTTC